TGAAGGGGTGTACCGGCTCACCCCACTCTCCACCCCCTCCTCCCCCTCCCCAACCCCCTCAAAACCCCCCAAATCACACCGCAGGGAGGGGGAAACTCCTCGAACCCACGGATCAAAACGCCTGGACCTCAGGCCTCGGTGGATTTCCATCCAAATCACAGCACCTGCTCACACCGAAATGTATGCCTTGAAGTCCCATGCACATTCCTCCCAATGTGGTAAAATGTTGCCCGAAGCCGAAGCTTTCCGTTAAAATTGTCATCACCTGCTCCGCTACCATTATCTCCGGGAATCACTCAAACTACCCGGAAGTAGCACAGCACTTATTCGACTCTGAAGCCAGAGTAGCCTGAAAGTTCATAGAAGTGGCGTTGTCCTGGCAAAGCACCAAAGCGCGGTGTTGAGCCACGAAACACACATACATGTATGCATGCATACACGCATCCGTCCCTGCATGCATCATGAAGGCCAGCGCTTGTATGCATCTGCGAAACCAGCCCCTCGAAAGTTGCAGGAGCTGCTGTCACAACCGCAAGAGACCATTGGGGACTTCGATGGGCCTGTGGCCTTGCTGGGTCAGGCGGAGTGCTGGCAGAGCGAAGAGCGCGATGGCAGTTTTCTGGAGCGAGGATCTCATGACCCAGATGCCCCTTCGGTACAGCGCCCGTGGCTCAGCCGTAACTCAGAACGTTTCGACGGAGTGCCCTCTCAGGCGGCGCGAGGGACGCTCTGGTTCCGCCACGACTGAAGCGTGGAGTTGCCAATGCCTGTGCAAGCGCAGAAAGAGACTTGGAATCTGCGACCGACGGAATCGTTCTCCAAGACGTTGATGTCATTGAAGCCCTGCTGCCGAAACATAATTCCCGGCTTGCCCCCGTTCATGTCGAACGGGAAACACCTGGTCTGATGACCCGGCTTGACCCCGATACTTGTTCTTGGCATGGCGAATTCAAGAGACTGAGAATACTGAGAATCAAGAAGAACGACCACGAGGTCTGAACCTAGCTCAGCGCGCAACGGATCGAAGCAGATTATGAACCCCTTAACACGGTCAGGGTAGTACTTGTAGGGTCCACTTTGAGGTCCTTGATAGGAAGCTGCAGCCTGCAGCTCTGTTGTTTTGATGCTTCTGTTCAAAGCAGCCGGGTGGCCGGGTGGGGCGGCCGTTCCCGATGGCCGAGCTCGGTGCCTCGACTGCCTCGACTGCCTCGACTTGTGATTGCAAGCTGCCACTGCTTGCAGCTTGCAATCTCCATGCGACGTTAGACCGTGAGACGTTTGAGCAGGGAGCTCGCGAGCAGCGCTGCAAACGTCCTTGTCTACTTCGTCATTCGGACTGCCTGCAGCTTGAGATTTCCGGGCTGTGCATAGAGACCGGGAAAGGAGACGTCGGGGGGAAGCTGCCCGCAAGCCCCGGCAGCAAAAGCAAATTCCCAGCTCTTATAGTGCTCCCAGAGTCTGGAGGACAGCCGGAGCGATGTCGCTGCCAGGGTGCTTGCTGTACCAGGACAGTTATGCGCCACTCACGGCCCCAATTGGCCTGCGGGCGCTCTTGGCAGGTGCCACTCGCGGGTCTTCCCCTGCAACTCAGCTCAAAAGCGATGAATCGCATTGGGCTAGCTATGCAGTCTATGTGCAGTCTATGCAGGTAACGTCGGACTCTGCTGCCCCTGCTTGCCGAGCAGCTGGCGCAGTGCCAAGGCGCAGATTGTGGGGAGCATCGCACGTTCGCCTTGCGGTGTAGGCCATCATGAAGAGGACTGGCTCCACCTGGTCCTCATTTTGGGGGTCCTCTCCTCGACAGTCTTCATCATCTTGCAGGCAGTGGCACTGCAGTCCTCGAAGCTACTCTGTTTATTTTTTGCTGCCTGCGCCGCTCAGATCGTGGAGATCGCGTTGCAGGAGAGCACGACCGTCCTGCATCCCCGAGAGTGGCGATTGAATACACATCTTGAGGAGAGAGGGACAGGGAGGGAGAGAGTTGAGCAGGAGCACTGCCACACGCCCTTCTGCTTGGGACAGTCGCCGGCTGAGAGAGCGGAGCAGTGCAGAGCAGAGCAGAGTGCGGCGCGACCGGAGCACCGCACTCTTATCCTTCGAGGCTCATCTCGGCGATCCTGCTGCCTCGGCCCCAGCCGCCAGCCTTGCAAGGGCCGTGTGGTCTAGACTTGCGAGGCTCCCGAGCCTCTACGACTTCTTCAAGTTCATCGGAGCCTACGACGAGTCTCTGCAGGCAGCAGAGCCTTTCAAGCCTCCCCGCTCCTGGGCTTCTCCTCACAGGAGCACAAGCAGCGTGCCGAGGACGAGGCCGGTTCCGTGTCGAGAGAGACCGCAGCTGCGGGCCGCAGCTGAGAAAGGAGAGAAAAACTGAGAAATGCAGCAGCTCGCCTCAGACCCATGCAATATTCGTGTCTGTGGAAGAAGAGAGAGAGAGAGAGAGAGAGAGCCAGCCTAGTTCGCACCATTTCGGATGCAACCTGAGCATGCCTGAAGGGATTGGAAATCCGAAAGCTTTTTACACTCTTCCTTCGACCTTGCAGTCATGTCTTCTTACGGACCGTGCCCTTTGACCCGGGAACCACGTCTTTGATACAGTTTTCTTTGGTGTCTGGTGTTTTCACACCCCCTACAAAGTCCACCGACAGGGGCACACCTCTCGGAGCTGGGGGGCCTGACAAGCTCCCCCGAAGCGACAAACAGATGTCCTCCGCGGGCTCCTTGGCGCTCGAAGCTCCAAATTGGGGCAGGGCCGGCAGGGCCGGCAGGGCCGGCAGGGTGGCACATGGTGGCACGGGGTTCGGCTTAAGTCCCAGCAGATCGCCGCGCCACCGCGTCACCGGCCTTGGCCATCCGCACACCGTTCGCCATGTCCCTCCTGGCTGACCGATTCTGATTGAAATCGAGGTACATGGCCTCATTGAATCCATCAACCAGCAGGCGAGGCTTGCACTTGGAGAGCTTGGAGATTGAGATACGCTGCGGTGGAGGTGGCAGAGATGCAGGCGGCAGCCGGCAGTGAAGCGCGAAGTTGGGTTTGCGCCTGCCGGTCGTGTCTTCAGGACGTGGCCGCAAAGCTCACTGTCCCACCCCCAGCAAGTTTCATCTGTGCCTTCAAGGCGGATATCCAATCGTTACTAGCCACTACTATAGTTCAGAACCCATGCCTCTGGTGGCACAGGTGCTGGCATGTTGCTTGTTGAGCGAAATCTTCACCGCGTGAACGCAGAGTTCACAGTCACTTCCCTGTGCCGCCCTAGGAGAGTGCTACGGACTTCGCCTTCCGCTCTTTCGACAGCAGCCGCGAGGCGGTTTAGAGTGCATCACGCAGCCAGAAGCCATGAAGCCTTGTGAAGCTGAAGTGGCGGACGGCTCACACCGCTCTTCAGCCACTCGAAGCCGCTCGAACTTCGCTTCGCCAAATCGCTGAGCGGCATTGCATTGCTGCGCCGCCCAGGGCTTCGAGAAGTTCATTCTGGAGCGGCGACCGCGTGAGAAACGAACATACGGATGGCTGCTCCCGCCCTTCCCTTCCCAGGACCTAAAGCTCTACTACAGCGAGCTCTACGAGGATCCACTGATGCTCCAGGCCCGCCTCGGAGCACCCGCGGGCGCCGCTCACGCTTCTTTTTCCTCGGGGGTTGTCTGGCCCCTGCAGGAGCTGCGCTGCTTCATGCTGAAGTGGCTCCACATCTTTTCCCAAAGCCCCAACCCAAGCGGCTCCGAACCGAAGGGAGCGGAGCCAAGGCAAGGGCAGACAAGGGCCCACAGCAGCGCAGCATGGGCTTCTGGTAACAGCTGTGGCTCTGAGGCCTCTTGGATGCCGAGACCAACCCACTGCTGAAGGCCCTCAGCCGCTCTTGCCGCTCTCTCGCCCGGTCGCTCCTACTCCAGTCAGGGCATCGAGGAGGAATTCAAGAAATGTGAGACGCCGGTGCCCGACACGAGGGGGAGTCCCGAAAAAGAGAAGTGAGAGCATCCCGAGCTCAGGCTCGACGAGCTCTGCGAAAAGGCCAGTGCTGCAAACTTCAGTAAAACAGCGCTCGCATGCCAGCGAACCGCTCGAGAGGTCACCGGCCGGCTCTCTCGTCTGAAGGCCCACGGCACCCACGGCACACGTGGCATTCTTAGTTAGGGCCGCGACCCGACCCGAGGTTTCCACTCGACTTGTCCTCGCCCCTGCAGAGTCCTACGCACCTCGGCTCCAAGCAGAGACGGGGCGCAGACGGGCTGCGGCTCTCCTGCAGCTCTTCTGCAGCATCGCTTTCGAGCCTCGAGGTGCTGCCTTCTCAGCGGCCCCAGGCCCAGCTCGCCCTCGAGGCTCCGGGCTGCGGGGAGCGGCACGGAGTGAGACGGAGCGACACGGAGAGCTCTGCCTCCACGCGCGGCGGAGGAGGGTTTGAGCTCCAACGCCAGCTTTGCGACGGCCTCCTCTGCCTCCACGGCCTCCGCGGCTCCCTGGCAGCGCAGCGTTCGCGCAGAGACATAGTGCGGAGATGCGCGGTGCATCGGTGCGTCAGTCTTGTAGTGATCCGAGGCTGGCGGAAAGTGCGGGGTCTCTTGGCTCCGCCTCGACTGCCGAGGGCGCTTCGGGCGTCAGGTCGGAGCCTCTGAGAAAGCGAAGCTCTCTGCTTTTGGCCTGAAAGCGGCCGCGGCCTTCAGCGAAGCCGCGCCGCAGAGGTTCTGCGAACCCGGGATGGGAACTTCGACAGGCGCGGATGCGGCGAGACTGAGCAGAGAGCAGCGCGCGCGCGCGCGCGCCTTGCGCTCTGCAGCGCTTATAAGTTGCGCCGCTCCATGCAGGGAGTGGCCTTTGACCATTGCCTTCTGCTGCGGTTCCATCACCATCCTCAGTCGGACAGACAACCCGACGATCGGAGGATGTTGAAGCATGTTGAAGCCTTCAGACGCCTGTGAGGAGGCACCTGAATCACCTGCTCTACTTCCTGCCCCGGAAACTCAGAGCGAGCAGCGAGTCCTCTGAGTCGGCGCGCGCCGGCAGGGCGCCTCAATGCGCGGTTAGGGTTGTGCTCGTCGCTCCAGGCTGGATCTCGTCCTCGTGCGGCGGCCCAGAGCGCAAAGCGGAGCGGCCCGCGACCGCGGCGCCGCGAGGTGGTGTACGAAGTCTTGGACTTGAGCCAGGCCGCTCGAAGTGCCTTCTCAAAGAAAGCGCACGAGCTGCGCTCTGCTCGCTGAGGCCTACAGCATCGCTTTGGTTTGCTGCAACTGGCTCTGCGTGCTCAGCACGCCCGGGGCCGACCTCGAGTTGAAGAGAGCGACAGCGAAGACAGCGAAGACAGCGAAGAGCTGGGACGCCTGGGGCTTTTGTGGCCAGGCTGGCCTGTTTCGAGCAGATCGACGAGATCGCCCAGCCTGGAGCCGGGGAAAGCACAAAGCGACTCCGCTGCCCGGAACGCGTCTCTGACGATCCGAGGCTGCAGCGGCGCATTTGCCGCTACCGCGAGAGGCACGGTGAGCGCAAAGAGAGCGCCCAGGGGATCCGAGGGTCTGAAAAGAGAAGAGTGGGACGGGACGGGAATGGGGACCATGGGGACGGGAGCCTCGCCAGGAGCGACCGCGTCCAGGAGCCGACCAGCGCCAGCCCTCTCTCTACAATCATGCTCCGCTCTTGTACACTACTCCTCACTCTTCAACTCTACTCTCACCCTCTGCATACTCTCCTTGTCACACCTCAAAGTGCGTTGGACTGGAGCAGGCTCCGGTGTGACCACTCTGGGCACCATGCTGTGC